ACGCAAAGCGCATTCCCCCACAGAGCGCTGTTCATGCGTATTTACCTCCTAATAATAGCTAAAGCTTATTCTATAGGATAGACAGCGCTGGAAGAACGGGCTTAGGCAGAAAGAAGTGGATTGCCTGGATTCGCTGCACGCTAAGACTTCCTGCGCGCTTTATCTGGGAGGGTGGGAGGCCTTTTTTATTATTTTTTCCACTTGCTGTAGGACTGTCAGTGATCTAAACGCAAGGTGGAATATCCGTTAGATGCAGAAAGCACTTTTTTAAAACACTAATTGAATGTTGGCTGAGAGTAAGTGGAAAAGCATGGGCTTGCTGATTGCAAGTATGTGTCGTATTCATGGTCCCTGTCTGTCAGTTTTATGGAACTGAGTTAGTTCGTAATCTCTGCTGTAGAATAAAGTTTTCCTCTAGAGTCCCGAATGTATTTACTGATTCTATTAATTGTCTTATGAACCATCCTTCTATCCTTCCAAAGAGAGCCAAGCAAAACCCCTTTTCTTCTTTTTTGAGCTGACTTGTCATGCTTGTATGACGCCTACAGGAAAAATTAGCTTGCCACTGAGTTCATTACCCAGCTCGTGTTAATTTCTTGCTGAACTGAAAATAGATGCTTCATATTTTCCAAATTTCTGAAAAGGCTTTCAGTACTTAATTGTTCAGAATTGAATGCATAAGACAGCAGAGCAGGCTGAACTTCTCTCTGGTGGTGGAAGTTGCTCTGACTTGTGCGGTAGCTCTGCCTGTAAAGTTCTGAGCAGGTTTGACTCTTGTCAGAGAACTCAAATGTATTTTTGTGATACTATTGTTTATGCTCATGCAGTTAGAAAATATGTTAAGGATGGAAGTTTTGGCGGGGGGGAAGGCATGCTCTTCTTGGAGGGAATGTCAGATAAGAAGGATTAGGGAGTCCTACCAACTTTAAATGTGTTCTTTCTGTGGTGAATTCCTGGAAAAAAATTCTCAGTAGTAACTTATTACGGTAACACTTTTTGCCGTAATCTGCACTGTATTTGGAGCATTCTGCATGTAAGCCATATTTGCTCTAATTGTCTTTCTGGCACAAGGAGATTCTGGGGAATCCTGTTCTTCTGCCAGCAACCCTAGCTCAAGCTGGACTTTTTTTTTAAAAGTCTTGAGCATGTCTGGAAAACTCATTTTGGGTGTTAGGCTTTGCATAAGGAAAAGTGCATTCTAATGAACATCTGCAAACGAGTGGGAAGGTGGGGTGAGCCGAGCTGATGTTCGTTTCCTTGCGGGGCAGAAAGCCAACACTTCTTTACAAAACCCAAGCCGAGGCAGCTCTTCCATCTGCTTGAAGCCGGTGCTGGCAGCCCAGGTAGGCTCCACTGGGCAGTTTGGAAGCATCCACGGTGCAGGGATCGCACAGGGAGCTGCTGAGGCCGGGCAGAGTTTGTGTCTCCTGCTGCGGGCTCAAGGCTCGAGTCGGGAAGCCATGGGAAGAGGCTCCCAGGACCTGCGGCTTGCAGGAAATCTGTGGCACGGCCGCCTGGAGCCGCAGATCCTGGGAGCCTCTGCAGTGGATCCATGACGCTGACAAGATCATAAATTTTGCAGCACAGCTGCGGATTCCCAGAAGACTTTGATTCGGGAAATGCCATCTGCTGGTATTGTAAAAAATGTAGAATTTTCTATGCTTTTTTTTTTTTTTTATTAGTCTGAAATAATAAGACATTTCATAAAAAATCATTTTGTTTTCTTTCAACTGCAGAAGAAATGAGTGCGTAATTTTAAATAAACTTGCTTATTGTGAACTTATTAATAAACTTGGCACATTTTTTTAGTATGCTCGTGTCTAGCAACACCCATGAGCTCTGTCTGTCCTCATGCCTTCTCTGTCTAGCTTAAGAAACTTGTTTATTCCCCTAACAAATGAGGTGGAGTGTGACGCTTCAGGGATCCGTGTAGTGCTTTGAGCTGCAGCTGAGCATTCATTTTTGAGTTCCTACTTTCACACATAGCCGCAAGTAAGTTGGAGGCAGTGGCAGGGCACCAGCTGATGCTCTTTTTGGTGCCAGTCACAGTGATGAGGAATATGATGTTTCAATCGATCTGCGCTTCTAAAATCACATAGCCTAGAATTTTTTTTAATCTTATTTTTCCTGGCCTTTCATGAAGCATGGGTAGCTCACAGCTAGTAGTCTCCAGAACATAACCATGTGGGAAAACCCTGCTGTGAGGCTGCCTTCCTCCCACTGCTTAAGCTCCCTCTAGAAAGGCAGTTTTCTGTCCATAAATACTGTTCTCTTTAGACCTGGGCTTGGGTATGGGGGGTTTTCTTTCTTTCCTCTCCCCCTCCCTGTCTCAGTTAACTAAACATTCCTAGCCAATTATTCATTAAAACATGCTGTACCTTAATTCGGTGAGCAGAAATGCAAGCCCTGCGTAAATGTAGGTACTTTTTCCTGATGTCATGTTGTGAGAGCCCTTTGTACTTCACTTCTGGAAGACCTGCAACCTTCGCATCACGGTTGTGCCTCACAGTGACTTTTCTATATTTGAAACTCCAGCTTTTGTGGATTGGAGACAAGATCACCCCAAAGAAAAGAAAAGCCTCAGCTTTCAGAGGCCGTGGACTGTATGAGGCGAAGAGGTGTGTACAGAAAAGCTCTAGGAAATATCAACACAGCTAAAATGTCAGTAATGCAGCAGCGAACAGAAGCAGGAAGCCAGCTTGCCTGCCCAGTTATCTTGCACTGCTTCCTTTACCTCTGTGGTGCCAGAAAATACCCCAGGCCTGGGGTACTTTCCTGCCTTGCTACTCCTGCCTTGCTACTCCTGCCTTGCTGGTGCAACCTCTGGCCCCGCTCACCGCGCTGCCAAGCTCTGCTTGGTTCAGGTGCCCTTCTGCGGGTACAGCCCTGGCAATGCGGGCAGAGCACGCGTCTGCTCTCCACGCAAGGCACTCGCTGTTTAAAGGGTAGTTAAACTGAATAATCTTATATTTGAGCATCTACTAAAAGGAGAAAAAGTCTTTGCCTCTGAAGGTCTTAGGCTGTTTGTTTCCAGCCTAATTTAACCTCAGGTGCATGATGTGCACCGGCTTTTCCTAACTGTGTGTTGCCAGCTTCCTTATTTGAGGTGGAGTTCCTGGCTTCACCATTAGGCCTGGCCTGTCATACCCACAGTTAGGAAGTCTGGCATGGATCCCTGCTCCGGCCGAAAAAGGCAGCAGGGCTTGCTTGTGTGCGTCTCCTCCCCTGTGCTGAAGGGAAACTGATCCTCTGAAACCTTTTTGATTGTTTGTTTTGATTGGATTAGCTTGAGGTACATTGATTCTTTGGTCTGCTTCACTGTGCCACCCCGCAAACTTGGTCTGTGGCACGAGCGCCAGCGCAAGGAAAACGGGAGGAAAGGGGAAGCTCAGGTAGTCTTGGGCCATCCCCCCTCTTGACGTGTATGAGCGGTGGCGTTTGCCTCGGCCGCGCGTGGGTGCGTGTGCTGGCGTGTCCACAGGCTTGGTGCGGGTAACGTGCACTCCTTGAGGATGTTTTGTGGGCTGGTGCAGAAACGGGGCACAGAGAGTGAAGCCAAAGCCTAGTGGAGGCAGCAGGAAAGTTATGTGGATAGGACCCTGTGTGGAGACATATGGGGGATGGTTCTTGCAAGGAAAGTCTTGGAGTGCCAGCCTGGAAGGTGACGTTTATAATTTGTAGGAGCAAGCAGCATTTTTAAAAGACAAGTCCCGGTTATGACAATTTTAAACCGGTTTGGCTAGGAGCTGCTGCACGTAGCTTCCACCCTTAGGTAGCCAATTTCCTGTTCCTGGAAGCTGTTTCCAGGCTCCTGAAGGACAAGCCCAACCAAGGGCAAGTGGTGCCTGACCAACCCAATTGCCTGCGGAGATGAAATGACCAGTAGAAGAGGGAGGGCGTCGTTTGGGGCTTACCTTGGTGTTAGCAAGGCTGTTGGCCTGGTCCCCGCAGCATCCACATAGCCAGACGTGGGAGGTGAAGCGATTTGTTGGGCTGCGAGGTGCTTGGGCTGGTGGTTCATGTCCTGAAGGCACACTTTCCACAGGCATCACTCGGCTGGTGCTGATGGGGCTGCCGTGGGTCAGCGTCCTGCTGGCGGCCTTGGCGAGAGGGCAGAGCGCGGGTTTGTGTGGGACGTGTTCGAGGGCAGAGCGTGGGTTTGTGTGGGCTGTGCTCATGGCAGAGCGCGGGTTCGTGTGGGCCGTGCTCATGGCAGAGCGTGGGTTCGTGTGGGCCGTGCTCAGGGCAGGGCTGCCTGTGAGAGGGGCAGCCTGCGGGCACGGGCTGGCCAACGTTCTTGGTTCAGCAAAGGAAAGTGCAAGCCCTGTGCTTCTCCAAATGGTATGGCAGAGCTAAAGCAGCGCCTCTGGTCTACAGAGACCTTAATGAAAGGACCGAATAATCGGCGTTTGAAACGATTGTAGCCAGCGTAGCCTGGAAGTGGTTCCTTGAATGAGTGGGTGCTAAAGTAACAAGGTCGGTGATCATCAGAGAGTTGCTTGCCCGAGGAGGACAGGGTACTTTGGCGGCCAGTGGACGTGTAATTTGAAGTCCGTATGTGTTTTCCTTCATGAGTGGCTTCTAGGATGTAGTTTAGTTGAGTCCTATGTTGGGGATTCCTCCCTATATGATTATATTTTAAGTAAAGTCAACACTAGAAGCAGGAAAAAAAAAAAAAGCAGTGTTCCTTTTTCAGTTTCTTCTTAGCATCCTGTAAGCAAGAGAGGGGAAGAGCAGGTGGCATCGTGTGTGCAAATATGAGATCAACAGAACCTGCCCCGATAGGTAAAATACAGAGATTGCTTCCAGGTTGAAAGGAATGTGTTTTAAGAAGGGAAGAAGAAAGCAAAGAATTGTCTCATTTCCATTACAGAAGAGTACAAATTTAACCAATGTGCAGTTGTGCTTTTTAGGTTACTCTGGGTAAAATCAGGTTACTATATTTAACACACGGTAACGCTTCTTTTAATGGAGTTCTTTGTTACCTTTTTGTTTTCCAGCTCCCTGCAAGTGTTCATTAATAGCACAGCGAGCAGAACTCTGTATATCAATGAAAAACTACCAGCAAGCTCTCCATGATGCAGAAGTCCTCTGCCGAAACAAACCCCACTGGCCTGCGGTACGGTACTTCTTGCAAAGGATAAGATGAAAGCTACTTGCTCTCCGGGTTTCTCTTTTCAGTTTCTCTTTACAGAACTTACAGTGTTGCTGTTGGAAGAATGTCTTGGTGTTACCAGGACTGGAAGTGTCTCCTGAAACCTTAGATGGTTCTTAAAGCATGGGGAGGGTCTAATGTGGCTCCAACACACACAATTTCTATAGTGGGCTGCCAGCAAGATGACTTTTTTCATACTAGGGCCCACCAATTTGCTTCAGGGGAGTGGGACTGGATCCGGCAGCAGGGGGATGCCCTGGGGTGCATGCACAGTGGGTGCTGTGCCCCATGGCACTGAGTGTCTTAGCCAGATCCTGGCTGCTCTGTCTTCCTGAAGAGTTTCCCAGACTGTATTTCAGATATAAACTTTATTTCCCTTGAGACCAGGGGTTCACATGTCTAATTCCCTCTAGTGTCGTGGTGAGTCGCAGGAGGCTCTGGGGGTTTCTCCTTAAGGAAGTGAGGTGCTGCAAGGAGCGCCGGTCGCGGGTGCTGGAAGCCAGCAGCAGAGCCGAGGCTGGGAGGAAGCGCGCGGTGCCCGCGCGTTGCCCCAGGGCAGGCCGGGCCGTTACCGGTCTCCCCACCTCGGCTTGCAGCTCCAGTCCGTGCCCGCTTCCCTCACCCCAGCAGCAGAACTCAGCAGCGCGGGCTTGGTCGGAGAAAGCTCCCGGGCTGGAGACAGGGGGAGAGCGGGGTGGGAATTTTTGGAATACCTTGACTTGTTCTCAGTCTTATCTTGGCAAGACCGAGAAGGAGCCACGTGTGGTCCTCAGTGACCTGCTTCAGCATGAGGGCTGCAGAGAGCATTGTTTTTCTAGCTTGGGTGGAAGTTGGATACTTGTCTTCAAAGGGTAACTGTTTCATCATCTATTACAACAGTTTTTATTTGAAGACAGGTCATCATCTTTCCCCTCATCCCCAGTTTCACTCTTCCAAATTTATCTTTTTGTTCAGGATCATTACTAATCAAGTCAGAAATTAATCTTGGGCAGCTTTGATTGGGTTTCTGTACAGAGGGAAAGATGAATTAAGCACGTTCAAATGTTTTTATGAAGTGTCTTGTCTGTTTGCCTTGAATCCATGGAAATATGATGGATGTCAGTTGTGGGCGGATAAAAACTTTGTTAATCACATCTCTGAAGAATGCTAATCTAAAATGAAATTTGTCATCATGGCATACCAGCAATATCACAGTTTTATTTCTTTTGTGTATGCATTTGTCAGAATTTCCAGGCGTGCTTTGGTAGTCCAAAATTAATATTCTACAGGAATTCTGGGCATGCGCTTTGTTTTGTGTTTTGCAACACTTCATCCTGCAGCTGAAATGTAGTTCAAACATGCATTGTCTAGTAAAGAAAGTAGAGGTAAGCCCAGCATTCACACACGAGAACCTTTTGGCCTGCTGCTAACTTAAACTTAGCAGCTTGCTGGGTTAGCAAAGCTCTGTTGGGTCTGCAGGCCCGTGGTAGTAATTAGAGCAGGAGACAAGTCTGTTTCTTTTCAGTCACTGTGAAAACCGTATCCTTGGACTCCGAGGCAAGAGCAAGCTTCCAATTGGACTTTTCATGTGAGAAATAGAAACAGATGCCTTCCCTAACGCTGCGCAAGGTCCTGCCTAGACTTTGCCCTTCAATCCGATGCTCGTCAAGACTGTGAAAATCAGAAAGGGAGAAATTGGAAGTGATAGTCCTTAAGTGTAAGGGCTTCTGGTATTAGATCTTTAGAAAGCCCTTCTGTGGGAGATCAGTATTCCCTTTGTGACTTGCACTTGGGCAAGGTAATTGCTCTTGGGCCCTGAAGGAAGATTGCAGGCAACCTTGTAGCCTCTCCAGTGCAGTGGAGTTATCTTACAAGTGGCGTCTGACTTGTTAGGAGCTCCTTAACAGGATTTTACAGAGGCTGTGCAGATGTCAAAATAAAAAGGTCAGGTCTCTGGAAGCACCTCCTTTACTGTGTTCGAAAGAAATGTCTTACAGAGATCTCGATGTGAGATGCCTCCAGCGTGTTGACCGTATCCGAGTCCCCAGAAGCCACAGGGCTTTGGAACCAAGCACAGTTCTTGCAGTACTCCTCACTCCCAAACTCCTATTAGAAAATCTTATGCTTTCTATTCACTGCTTCTTTAGAATAGAAGTAGACTGCTTCTTTACCTTCTTTTAGAGAAAGAGTCAGAATAACTTCTCCGTGCTCAGTTTGAGAGATCTCTGCATATTGAGGCTTCTTGTTTAGTTCTTCAAATGATACATGTTAACTAACCTGTGTGAGGCAGTGTTTTCATACAGGTCTTCTACTTCCTGATAGTAGAGAGGGAATGATCTAAATGGCATTGAATCAGCTTGAATGACTGAGGTACCTTCTTGGGAAGATGCGGTGAAACCAGAAAGCAGATTTTGCATTAGCTTGGAGAATAGGAAATATGTCTGCGCTTACCTGACCAGTTTCTGAAGGATTTGTACTTTCAGCACAGCCTAAAGCTAACCGTGTAGATCAGAGGTGGACTTGACTTTGCAGAGCGTGAGTCTGTCTACCCAGCAATAGGCAAATGTTTAGCTCCGTGTTTAGTTTTTCTCCATGTTAAGACAGTAATTTCCATAGGCAGATTCAAAATGCAAATGGATTCCGCAGAGAAATTTGAAAGTGGAGTGTTCTGTTGTCACAAACAACTAAAGTAGGACTTGTCCCTGAGCTGACTGCCCTACCTTACCTTTTGTTCATGGATGTGGTGTTGCAGTATTTGGTAGAGGTCAGAGGGGCTAAGAAGCTCTAGTTAAGTACTGATAATTTCCTAAATTCGTTATATGCTGATCTTTTCTAGCTCGGCAAAGTAAGTCACAAATCATGTCTGTCCTGGCAAGATATCCAGAAGAAGTGTGACTCCTGTATATGAAATCTGCTCCCTCACCTGCTATCTCCAACCTGCCCTGTGCTGCTACCTTTCCTGAGTAGTATTTATTGCTTTTGTATGTGAAGCAGTTCCCCAGGAAATGGAGATGTGATATTCCCAGGCCCCAGGGAAATAAATACCTTTCCTCATTCTCTGTCTGGCCACCCTCTGGGGGAAGCCATGTGTGCCGTTGAGGCAGGGAACGAGCAACAGGTTTCCAGGACTTCTTGCTTTCCCGAAGTCGCATAAATCAGACATGTTGATACCAAGGCAAAATTGGAAATAATAATACTGTGATATTGTAGAGCTGGCGGCTTGTGGTCAGCAATGACAATGAAAAGCAAAACCTTCATCTACAATTCTGGCTATTCTGTGCCTGCAAAATGCAGTAAACTCCAAGTACTCTATTTGCAGGTGTCTTACTGCCTCTTCAAAAATGGTCTCTAAAACTGTTTGTTTTCTTTGTATGAACAGGGCCATTGTGTGAAAGCAAAAGCTCTTTCTGGATTGGAAAGGACTGAGGAAGCGTTGAAGGAGTTTCTCTACTGTGTTGCCTTAAATCCCGAATGGAGCGCAATGAAGAAGGAAGCCCAAAAGGTACGGAATGTCTTTGTTGGCTGCCTCATAGCCATCACGCTGCTCTTATTCCTGCAGCTAAACAAAATTCTTGTCATTTCAGGTAATAGTTGTTAACAACAAAATGGTAATTTGATTCAGTAGATTCTCTGAACCTTATTAGTATGATGCCATAAGAGGCCTCATGCATTTGATTCAGATATCAATCACAAGGACTGTATATTTGTGAATTCCACTGCAAATATTTAATTTGTCTCCTACAATTCGTAGATTCCTTTGCCAGTATATCAGCTGGATTTGAGCACGCCTGGATTAAATAGGCTCAAGACTGCTAATTGTAGTGCCCCCAGAAAATGCTTTTTTGCAGAAAGTGGGAAAAGGGCAGAGGGGAGTTGCATGCTGCCCTGTCATGGAGATGAAGGAGTTGCTGCCTCTTTTGGACTCTGAAGCTTAACTTGCCATAAGGGACACACTTACTGCTAACCTGCCATAAATAGGTTCCACCTTAGGTCTGTACAGTCAGATTTTTGAAAAAGAAAAGGAAATTGGTGGAGGTGCATGGTGGGGAGTTGAGAAGGGGAACAGGCTCTATGCAACTTTTAGTTTTGAATGAAATGTAGAGAAATAACTTGCTGGATGCAGTTAATGGGAACTGAAATGCATCTGGCTTAATGAGTTTTGTTAGGAAAGCATGGTCTAAGTCCTTTGGGAAGTAGAGATCTGAGGCTCAGAGAGGAGAGGGGTGGAAGCAGGAGAAAGAGGCAACGGGCTGTCACCCTGCTCATGGAGAACCAAGGCTTTTGGGGTGGGAAGCTGACTAGAGAGAAGATATCTAGAGAGAGATAACTGTATCTAAAGAGATGTATCTGTTCTGTATCTAGAGAGAAGATAACTTTGGGATGTCTCTACAACTGTGATCAATGCCATATAAGTTTCTTGTGAGCAATGGGGAATGCAGTTGCAAGCATCTTGGCATTTGGAAGTTTCAAAGTTTGTGCTGTCTGTATTCGTACCAACAAAGATCCTATCTTAACTCCTTTTCTTCTTTTTTTCTCTCTTAATTGACTAGATAATGTGTGAGATGTTTTTCCCAGCCTTTGAAAATGTGCATGATAGTCTAACAGCACCTTTTTCTAGTCGAACATCCTATACAAGATTGAAACCTGCATTTTTGAGTAGCATAAACACACAGTCAACTGCTGAAGATGGTTCTATTGCCGGGTCCTCAAAGGTAAAGTAAAAAGTGCTCAAATACAAATACCAAAAGTAACACAAGGGTCTGTGTCTGATCTCGGTGGCATTGTCTTTGCGGTCATGTAGGCACTTTATTTTGGTAATCCTGTTTTCTCGAGTTATTGTTGGATGTCTTGATGGAGCGTATTTCTTAAAAATTAGAGAATGAAACTCTGCAGAAAACAAATGGATTTAAGGATTCATTAAGTGTGCTTTTTTCCCTCTCTGTGCCCTTCGTGCACTGTGAACCTTTGTATGATGGGCAGAGAATTTTCAGAGAAGGGATGTGTTGACAGAGAAACATCCCTGTCTGTTTCATGTAACTTGAGAGTCCTTCTATTTGGTACTGGCCTTTTTCCCGCTTTCTAAACATTCTATAGCATGTTTTGGGCTTTTTCCCACTTTCTAAACATACGTATTGCTGATGTGTGCAACAGAGGGAAAAAATAAAAGGCAACATTGTCTCATGCCCCATGCAACTGTTCTTATTGTTTTCTAGGATACTGTGTTTAGATTAACAAAAAGCCCGTCCCAAGAATCTGATGTATTTAGAAGCACTGATTCTTCTGTTTCACATGTACTCTATTTTGAAGACAACAAGAAGTCCTTGGGAACTATTCTCTCCAGTTTACCTGGGGCTGGCTTAAAAAGAAAGCTGTCCAGTGACATGAGGGATTTACACAGCTCGGATGTCCCTAATAAGATTCCTAAAAAAGGTTTGTGCTTTGGTTTAGAAGGGTCACTTATTTTGCATTTTTCTGTACCTTTTTTATACATGCAAATGAAACATTCCTTGTGGGGATTGAGGGATTGAAATAATATTTTCTTGTCTAGTATGTCTGTTTCTGCTGTAACAGCTTTACTCAATTAGGCACTTCTGTCTTCCTGGACCATGCAGATTTAAAGGATGTCAAAGCCATTTAAGAACAAATACTATTTACGTTATTCCAGAACAATCTCATTCAGTGAACACTGTATTTTCTTTCTCTAAAGGAGCATTTCTAATATATAATCCACTAACAGTTTAGTCTTTTTATTGCTGGTGACATAGCCATTTTCCAGGCCTCGGAGATATAGCCGAACTTCAACTTTCTATATGAAGGAAAGATACAATAAGCTGGGAAACTAATCTTTAATTGGCATCAGAAACAGTCACATGCAGTTTTACATGAATTTTGCAAAGCAAACAAAGAAGCCTTTTGAAAGCTAATAAGCCCACCCATTCTGTCACTTGATAGCTGTGCTTACAATTGCTGGGCTTCTCAGGCTTCTAACAAAGTAGTTTTAGTGCTCTGGGGAAAAAAAAGTGCTGAAGGCAGTATATTGCATGAGTAGTGAAATGATTGGTTAAAGGAGGCTTTTTAAATGCCATTATTTTAGCATGCATTTTTAACCTTAAATTCTTTTTTTTTGAAAAAAGACAAATTTCTGCCTTGAATTGTTATAGGTCTCAAAGTGCTGCTGTTTATCTGCCACCTCCATAAATTGTCAGTCTGTGGTTAGCTTCTGATCTCGTTACTGTGAGGGGAAAAACCCTCTGCTTGCCTATGAACTGCAAACTCAGTAAATAGATTGTGAAATCTGACCCTCCTCTATCTTTGCAGGAAAGGCCAGAGATCGCGTTTTACCCATAACCATTAATTTCTGGTCTGTGCTAGATCCTGATGCCGCGTTACTATTTGTGGAACAAAGCAGTTAGGTTCTTGCTCTTGCTAAAGGCCAGTGTGCAAGATATAGGTTAAAGATAACTCTTCTTTGTAGGCCACACAACACTGCTGCCCTCTCCCCTGTCCTGTCTGTGCTTGAGGTAAACCAGATGCTGAGCAAAAGTTACCCTCTAACAAAACAACCTAACTCTTTAACTTCACACAGAGGTTGAACATTCTTTTTTTTTAACAGTCAGTGAATCTGGATGATAAAAAGGACATGGAGGCAGTAGGCATGATTTGGTTACAGCTCTCACTGGACAGTAAAGGTGAAGACCATAAACTAAGTTGCAGAATCTGCCTGTAAAAATGTCCTCAGAGTTTTAAAGCTGGTAGCTCTTGAGCTTAAATGCTGCTATGAAGATTGAGGCCCTGACTCATACGTGCATTAACTACTGCAGTACATAGCACCCTCAAAAAAACAGGGTAGGCAAAATTTTAAGTGTGTGCACTGTGTGTTTTTGGTATTTGCAGAGTGCTGAGCTGGTAAAATTGGTATTAGCTAATTTGGCTCCTGTAGTCCTTAAAATTTAAGCTGTCTGAAACACGGGATTTCCACAGCAGGCTAGTCTAGAAGAGCGTAAGCCCTTTTTATACTTGTGAGAAAAAGTACTCCTACTGAGAAAATCTATAACAAACAGTGCTGAAATACTTTAAATATGTGTAAACAAATTAAATCCTGGACTTAACATACTCAAAAACATCTGGCCTGGCTGATGTGGGAGTGGTGGTGGTGTTGGGAAAGCAATAGCAGAGCATTTTAAAAACTAGACTTAAAAAAACAACCACCATTTTTGGAAAAGAAAATCATGGGTATTCATCTGTAAAATGCTTTCTCTGGCCATGGACTTCTTTCTCTGCTCTCCAAAAAGCTCTCCTGCCAGAAAGCCTAAAAATTAGGTGGAAACTGTTTTTTTGTTAAAGCTTGTGGCAAATGAGATAGATTTTTTTTTAATAGAAAAGCAACCTAAACAGCATTTGAAATTGCAGTAAAATTAACTTTTTGTTTTTTGTAACTCTTCTCTTAACTACTTACTTAGATGCAGATGTTTTACCTGAAAACACTGCTGTTGCTTCAAGTGAGATACCAACAACCCTTGTGGATGCTTCTGACTTCGAGTGTTCCCTCTGCATGAGGTATGACTAGACTGATCTGGCATGAAGATATAAAAGCTTTTTTTTTTTTTTAATCTTCTGACAAAAAGGTTTTATGGTTTAGGAAGGGAGACAGTCTGCAAAATGTCTAATTGATTACTTTTTTTTTTTCCTGTTTTTTTTTTTTCTCCTGAAACTGGTATCTAATGACTCTTTACAAATTGGATAGTTTTTTCATGACACCTTCACTTTATGGGTTACCTCTTTTTAAATCCTAAGATAAAAATGTTGCCATGATTTGTATGAAAGGTGATGTCTAGGTTTAGTCACTCAGCTTTTTTCGCTCTGTGTTTTCTTGTTCAGGTTGTTCTACGAACCTGTTACCACTCCCTGTGGACATACCTTTTGCCTCAAATGCCTTGAGCGTTGCCTTGACCATAACCCCCACTGTCCTCTCTGCAAAGAAAAGCTGTCAGAAGTAAGTACATCCTTGCCTCAGTTAACCAAAAAAAGCAGGAAGTAGTGTTTTATAGAAAGCAGGTATGTTGGATGTGTTTTATGCTCCACCTGTGGCAGAACAACACAGTATTGCCCATAGCATCAAACTTGAAGAGCTTCTTTCCTGTGAGGGTGACAGAGCCCTGGAACAGGCTGCCCAGAGAGGCTGTGGAGTCTCCTTCTCTGGAGATCTCCCAAACCCGCCTGGATGCCACCTTGTGCCACGTGCTCTGGGTGTCCCTGCTGGAGCAGGGGGGTTGGACTAGGTGATCTCTAGAGGTCCCTTACAACCTCAACCATTCTGTGATTCTGTGCACAGACCTCTTTTATTCCAGAATACATCCTGTCAGTCCTTAAAGAAAAGGAGGGCTTTGCTGGTGCTTTAGATAATCTAAAATTCTGATCTCACTTCAGACTCATCTTGAGGAGCAGCAAACCTAGTCCTGTTCCTAATACATCTCCTGGATCTCTGCTGACTGTGAACATGGCCTTGGTTGAAACTTGTCCAGTATATGTAATCCATCCCATACATTGAGTACTTCCTGGGAAGCAGAAGCATTCCAGCTCTAGATACAAATATATTTTCAAGGCTTTGCTTTGGTGTTAGCACAGCCTCTGCCAACTTAAAGACATTGAATTAAAATTAATGGACATTGGAGTAAATTGCATATCCTTAAGTGGGAGTTTTGATGCCTGAATGCGGAGAAGGAAGAGGACACTCGCGGGCCAATGTGCTGTATTGTGTTGTGTTATAAAAGGGGATGGGTTGGGAGGAAGAGATGTTAGATGACTTCTCATTACCAGGCTTCAGAGGTGACTCTTCTTTGCAGTTTCTGGCAAGCAGAACTTACAAAAAGACCGTCCTTACAGAAGAGCTGATAATCCGCTACTTACCAGAAGAGTTGTCTGAAAGGAAGAAAGTTCATGAGGAAGAAATGAAGGAATTGTCCAAGTAAGCAGTTTTTACTACCAAAAGTTGTCACAGCAATGCATTTTTAATCCAGATTGCTGAAGAAACTTGCTTATGGAAAATGCGCAAAATGCTGAAATTAATTTGTAAATGAACCTACCAGATATTTCATATTTTTGGTGTGTTTGTTGAGGATAGACAAAAAACAATATCCTTGGATGGCGGAGAGACACAACAATATCTTGCAATAAAGATAATTGCTTTATTCCATTCAATGAAAATAATATCACTTTTCAGAGTTGTAATGGGAGTTGCCTGGGAGTAGAAGCCCAAATATGAATGGGTTTCACTTCAGGTCAGCATAAGTGCCAAGGTTCATTGCTGTATCAGTGCTCTATGGCTCTTACTCTACAACTCAATCAAAATGAAAAATAAAACATGCAATTGAAAGAAGTATGAGGATTAACTGGCTGTTTTTTTTTTAATTAAAGGATTTTACTGAACTTTGAAATCCTCCACCACCTTGCTTTAAATACGACAAGTTCTTAGATATTAAATTACTGTTAAAAATTGCTGAAATCCTGCCATCTGTATTTAAGATGTATGTATCTATGTGCACATACTTAGGAAACTGTCTATTACTCCCTGACTCTTCCATCGTGAAAGCAGATTAGAGGATTTTATTAACAGGAAGAGCCCTGAAATATTTTGCCCTTTCAAAATGATAAACCACAACCAGATATGTGTTTACCAAGAATGAGTCTAAGGAAACCACTGGAGTCAGTGCAGCATTAAAGGTCGGTTTATGCTGAATACAGTAGCACACAGAAGAAAGCTCAACTATTTTTAACAATTATTTTGCAGTTTGAATAAAGATGTTCCCATCTTCGTATGTACCATGGCCTTCCCTACCATCCCTTGCCCACTTCATGTCTTTGAACCTCGTTATCGTCTAATGATCAGAAGATGCATGGAAACTGGTACCAAGCAGTTTGGCATGTGCTTAGCTGATGAATTGAAAGGGTAAGGACACAAGCTAAAAATGTTCTGCGCTGTATATTTGTCTCCCCAAATCACTGTGGTTCCTGCCATTCCTGTATGAATCAGTGCAGAAGCTGGTGGATTTTTAGCTTAGTATATTGAGCATTCCTTTTGACACAAAACTCTTCATTTTTATTGCTCCTCTGTTGGTTGAATAGCAAGAATACACTTCATCCTCCTACTGCAGGCTTCAAATAGCACTTAGTTGTGTATGTGGTTGAATAGCTTTTCAGCCTGCTTTTCTTAGTGAAAGCTAACAAAGTCAGTTTGAAGTTGCTCTTCTGCTCTGTTTAAAAAAAAATCAACCCTTTCATAGTTTTTCTACATAGACTGTATGATTTGAATGAGACAAAATATATCCTTGGCTGAGAAGACTGTTTTGCTGTTGAATGTTGAATTTTGATGTTTGTCTTTCCTGCTGTGTTCTCTTTCTGCAGTGAGTGGGTTTGTCTTCCTATACGAAATTCATTTTTGTGACTTCTGACACTGGTGTTTTTCCAGATAACAGCTCCCTGTGTGGAGACTAAATACTAATCAGTAGCTGAAAGTCTAGGTGAAACCTTCAGTTTTTATCTTATATAGATAATGTAACAGTTTTTTGAGGTAAAGAGGATAGGCAGAAGCTTGTGTAGGGGGGAAGATCTTAAGAGCAGTCTATTTTTTGAGTTGTGATAGATAGTTGCCACCTTCAGAAGATATGTTGGAGTAATGCAAACTGTAGACTACAAGTGCAGGAAGTTTTAAGGACACATTAGTCCTCAGGAGCAGCTGCCTTAGAGGGGATGACTGGAACTGAGAGGAAGGGCGAGTCATACCAGGCTTCGGCAGCCTGTCCTGGTTGATTTGCCCAGTTTGTTATTTTTTTTCTCGCATATCAGAGGGTAATTGTGGCAACAGGAGCATAGGAGACACTGCAACTTCCAGTCTTCTCGTGTCACTCAGAACCTGCCAGGGTGCTGTCGATGCCAGGTGCACGGCAGACTGCGGATAATACGGAAAAAACAATATTTGACTTTTTTTTTGGATAACATCGCATACGATATTTCAAAATGCATCTGGCAGAGTTAGATTTTTATATGTACTGTCTCTTTACAGCTGTTAAAATTAAATGTTTTTAGATATGGTATCTTCTGCTTAAGCCACTGAAATGCAGTGATTTACAGATGAGGATCTGTAAGCACCTGGTAGGCTGTTGTAGGTTCTTACATAAGTAAAGAGATTCTCTTGCTGATTAAAAATTGCAAAATCATCTGGGAATAGAAAAAGTAGGGAAACTTGTTTTGCCTCATTACATCAATATGTAATGGGGAGAGATGGAAGGCAGAGATTGGTGCCTTCTTTGAAAAACATGGTGATAATACGTTCAGTTCATTACCTTCCTCTGTTTTAGTTTACTATTTTAAATTTAAACTGAGGTGGGGGTTGTAACTTTTTAGTACACGTAAGTATATTTTATGCCCAATCTTAGGTGTTTCTTGTTTCTTTCTGGTCGAAGTCACTTTCTACTCAAAAGTAACTTCCACAGAACAAAAAATCAAAAAGTCATTCATCACCTTTATTTCTGGACTAATTTTTAAACTGAGTGCCCATAATACGCTTAATTTAAACAAAAGTAAGTTATGCAGATGTTTAGTTAGTGCCTAGCCTAACTTCGCTGTAATAAACTCATTCATCACAATCCCACCAGTGGAACACACAGCACTTACTTTTATACAGCTGTGTTCTTCTTGCCGTTCCTCAGTTCGTGTTTAATGTGATGAAGAGGATAGAGCAGTTATTCACAGGGGGTCAGATTTTACTCTTTGCACTTAAAAACATGATTTCTAGTGGAGTAGAAGCAGGAGTCATTCCTCTGCAGTGCTGCTGCTGGGTTGTTAGTGTGATGCAACATGCTGCCAAGCCCTGGTAAAACAAGTATTTCCCCGATGTAGCATTCGTCAGGCCCGGCAGGGATTTGTTATCTTGAGATGGGACTAGATACAGCACATTCTTCTGGTTAGCAATGCACAGTAAGCTGAGGTGCAAAGCTGCAAGTGCTTGCAGATCAGCTTATCATGGGGCAATCAACCTTTTTAGGGAAGCAACTAAAGCACAAACGCGAGATAGACAAAAGCCAGGAATTTAAATTAAGACTTTCTGTGTTGTTTCCAGGACATGGTTAAAAGCAGTGACTTATTTAAGTAAAATAGACATAAATTAAGTGTGGTTCTACTGACTTTTTCAAAACTTAGACAATATAAATGCAAGGAGAATCTTACTTTGAAAATGCCTTTTCCTTCTAGAGCCTCTAATCCTGTTTGCACCTCAGAGCAGGGCAGCAGCCTTGGACTGTTCTAGCCCTTCATCCCTGCAGTTGCTCCTCAGTTTCTTATGTATCTCAACCCATCTAGTTTTCTTTGCTAACCAGGTGAACTGCCGCTAGCAGGTGGCAGCTCCCATGAAACATGTCCCATGTAGTTCCCCGTCCCTTCCCAAATACCTGCAAGCTGTCAGCACTGCTGCCCCGGACCCTTGCAGAAAGGCAGAAAGGGTGGGGGTTGTGTGGCTTGTGTGGATAAACAGAACTGTATTGTCACCAAAGCCAGGATCCTCTCTCAAATAAAAAGTGGTGATATAGGCCCAGTATTTGTCCTGATGTGTATAAACACTTGTTGATGACTTCCAATTTTATGCCCTTCTGTCATTTCAGATTTGCAGATCATGGCTGTATATTAGAGATCAGGGACGTAAAGTTTTTTCCTGATGGACGCTCAGTTGTTGATACAGTTGGTGTCCGTCGTTTTAGGGTCTTAAGCCATGGCCAACGAGATGGATATAACACAGCAAACATCGAATATCTTGAAGATAAAAAGGTGATCTATGGTGCAAAGTTATTCATACCCATGTATTGCTGGATTCACTTAAATGCCCTTTCCTTGTTGCATTTCAAGGTAGCTGTGCATTATTTTTAAACTAGTATAATTAGAAAAACTCTAGCTCTATTTTGAAAACTGTGAACTTAGTCTGCCTCTTACTTCCCTTTCTTCGTTTCTATCTCTATAATTATCCCTACCTGAAGTGTTGCAGTCCCACTGGGATTCTCAGAGAAGCTTCTGAGTCTTGAATGACATATCTGACACGATGTGTAGATGAGGTCAAAGTAATGTTTTAAAACTGATACGGACTTGCAACCCTTCTAAGAACATGTCTGTGTTATTAGAGAACTCACTAGTCTCTTCTGTCACTGAATACAGAATATCTGTTTCTAGCCTTTGCAAGCTTCATGTAACCTTGCAACTCTGGTTTACAGAACAGCTCTTCAAATAAATGTGTGTTTTCATTCTTAAAAAGAGATGTTAGTGGCGTATGGTTGCTGTGCCTCCAACAGCATCCATCAAAGCTGGCTAAGAACAGAGAATTGCAGGGCTGAGGGTAACTTAAAAACAAGTCCTCCCAGGAAGCCTCCAGCAGGTGAGGTGCTTGTGATGGATTTTGGACAAAAAGGTGAATTTTTGGCTGTTCTTAATTGTGACTTCCTGGATCATCTTCAGAGCACGTCTGTAAACTGTTGGTGCCTCTTAGCGTGGAGCTTAGCAGGGGTCTCATGCCAAGTGGCGATGCTCCGTTCTGGTCCCGCAGCTGACGTGACAGTGGGTAGGGCTCTTCAGCTCCTGCAGGGAGGTGCAGATGCTCCTTGGGGCCGGTAAGGCAGATCCTGCAGAAATGCCTCCCCCCACAAACAGCTGTATTTAATCTGTTCACTGGTATCATCTGCTCTTCTAAAATCCCCGGTGAAGGATGGTGGCACGTAGATGTCAAGGCATGTTTTGTAGATGGTGCCAGAGACCCAGCTCTTTATAATTAGAGTGAGATTTACTCTGTCTCACTTGAGAGGCTGCAGTCTAAGTTAATCACCTTGCTTTCCTGTTCTGTTTGGTGATGAGAAACCTCAGTCCAAAGCTGCCTATTTATCTGCTCTGTCTTACATACCTGCCTTAAGATGAGATTAATTGCCCTCTAGAGCTGTTTCTCCTCAGCTGTGAAGGGCATCCAGAGCAGCTAGCTCAGAAGTGTTCTGAGTAGCACAGATGAATCTCACTATTGGTGTGTACAGTTAAAAAAAAAAGTGATTTGCAGTGGTCTTTTTTCTAGGTTTTTCTTTGCTTTTGTTTTTTTTTCTTTCCCCTAATGACTAAATAGTCAGGTCTATGCAACTAGAACACTTTTTTTGCCTCAGGGAGGGTCTTTTTTATGGCTGTGCGTAATATTAAGAAATTATCCACTTTCACCTACTTGCTGCCTGCTGACACACCTGCCCTCTTCCACCTTCTCCCTGGCTGTTCTACCAAGGCCTTAATGCTCCTTTAAATCATGTTGATTTCTCAATGCAGTAGAATCCCCATCATTTTGCATGGTAGCTGTAGAGTTGCATTTATTTTACAAGATGATATAATGATATTTAGGTCTTCTTTTGTGACAGGGACTTTATTTTATGGGTTTAAAGGAATGAATACAGTGTCCTGAGATGAGAAAGCAGGTCCTTCAGTTGTGCCAGCATTTAGGAATGAATTTTAATAAAGCAATCATTTTTCTAAGAAATGTCATTTCAGAACATTACTTACAGGGGAGGGTAAAAAGAATCCAGCATCACAGGTTTGAAACATGAGACTTGAGAACAGTTTGCTTAGATAAGGACATTTGAGCAGCTGTCACTGCATTATTGTGCTTCGCTCGCTTCTGGGGGAGCGTATGAACTCCGTGGTATCAAACTTGTTTTGTTCACTCTCCTTTCTCTTAAAAATAAGGTTGAAGGACCAGAATATGAAGAGCTTGTCCGCCTTCATGATTCGGTTTATGATCAAGCTGTTGCCTGGTTTACTTCTCTTAAAGACAACATGAAAGTGCAAATTCTCAATCATTTTGGGTCCATGCCAGGAAAAGAACCAGAGCCACAGGTAAAAACTTCCCACATATGCATCTTTGTCCTACATACTAAGTTTTTCCACTGAATTGTTTTCTGACAGAGATTTTTGTTGTGTTTTCATACATCCTAAGGTCTTCTTACTTTTCCCTGTTTTAGTCTATTAGCATGAAGTATGGTAAACAATTACCATACATCAATCAGCATGTGAAGAGATTAACCTTAATGGGGCAAGTAGGCACAAACACCTGAAGTTAAATGTTGAGTTGCTACTTGAACTGTTTCGTGGTAGCTTTCTTAGCAAACAGTAGTAGTAGACTGGCAGGAAGGTGGTGTTCTTTGTGGGACGGTGGTGGTGAATACATCATTCCATGTCTCTCTGTCCTTTTTCAGAGCAACCCCAGCGGTCCTGCCTGGTACTGGTGGCTCTTGGCAGTGTTGCCCCTGGAAAACAGAGCTCAGCTGGCTATACTGGCGATGACTTCCCTTAAAGATCGTCTTATTGCCATCAGACGCGTGTTGATATTTGTGACTCGCAAAAGACCCAGATAACATGGACTTCAGTTGTGAGCGGGCACTGACAACATCTCATGATAGGTTGTTTGGGGGGTGGGGAGAGAGAGGTTTTTTTTTCTTCTTTGTTTTTAAAGTATCTTTCGAAAATGAACAGCCCTTTCTGACTGTGTCCAGCATCCATCCATTACATCGGTTTGTTATTCTGGGTATTCACCAATCTTTGCACTCTATCCTGTTGTCCTGGTGAAATCTGAGCCTCTACAAAGCATTGCTACAGTTATAACGTAGCTGGTAGGTGTGGATAACTGCTTCAACGTGCTGTAATAGAGTTGATGTTTCTAGCCTGCAAGAGAGTTAAGTCCTAGGACAGCATCTCCAGCCTGCATGCGAATTGGATTTCTACTTAGTAGGAAAAGGAATCTGAACAGTGGACTGAAGAGGTGTTTCCTAGACTTTTTTGGAGCTCGTCAATAGAAGAAAAGAGATACTTCCCCAGTGGAAGAATGCATGAAGGCTATATAGAACAGTACGCTCTGTTATTGAATGGGTAGGCAGTCTGTCATACACCCACATCTCTCTCTTTCAAGAAAAATCAGTCTGTGAGGAAAAAAAAAAAAACTAAGCCCTTTGTGGTCAAGGCATCTGAAGATGTTTATCTGAAAGAATAATAGCTACTGAATAAGTATCCTATTTAGTAGCCTTAGGTAATCCCTTGTGTTGTGATTTATGTGTTATAACGGATTGAGTATGTACAAAATCTTTGAAGAGGTGTACTTTGGTTTAAAAAAAAACACATCAAAGTAATCCAAGCTGGTCTTATCACTAGTTCAAATCAAACCAGCTCCCTAAAGTATGATGAACGCTGCTGTGAAATGATTTCATTCCAAGTAGTAGGAGAGCACGCTGCAGGTTCCTTTGAACGTGTTCTGCAAGAGGAACTTGCTGGGATAAAACCCGGGGAAGCTTCCTCTCTCGTCTTGTCTGTAGCGCCCTGCCAACCCAGTGCTACTTTGGAATGACCTCTAGAACATGTTTCAAACCAGAAGTATTGTAGTTTAGCACCAGTTGCTGTATGCCATGGAAATTAGTCCTAATAACACCATGAGTGGAGGCACAAACCGAACACTAAAAGGCAAGTCTCAATGCAAGCTTACGTCAGGTGTTAACCGTCATTTGTGTTTTCTGATTTTTTTAATATACATTTTGTTTTTATCTGACTTTGATAGCTCTTAAATCCGTTGCTTGTCAGTCAAATGATCAACTTTCTTTGAATTGCCAGTGAAATAACTAACAGTGTTACCAATTCAATTGGCATGGTTTCCTACAAGTAGAATTGATACTAGCAACAGAAAAGAAGTTGACTTGAATCTCTGTGTGCTACAAGCATAAGACCAGTTTGAAGACTTGTTCATGTGCTGAAGTCTGGTAAGATGAAATGGCTGTTTACCCAAATGGTCAAAGTGCCTGGTTTCTTTTTTCTTTTTTTGTTCCTTTGTCCGTATTTGTCAATGAAGATGTATTTTGTTTTTGTTTTCAATTTGCACATGAGTTCTGGAAGAAGACTGCATTAAAATGCAGCAATTAAGATATTACGTGTTCTCTTTGGGTATTGTAGTTAAAACCTGTGTGGTCTGGGAAACAAAAATACTGAGTTTTTTTCCTTTCAGCAAATGGCTACCACAAATGGTTTCTGTAACATACCCTGAATGTACTGTAACTGCCTCTACCTTGAACACGCCTTTTCTATTTAAATCATTTGTAAGTATATACTCTGAATTGTGAAGTTCATAATTTACAACAAATGATGTAACAACCTCTACAGTAGCCTTCTGCAAGTTCTGCTACCGTCACCAAAATACGAAAAATAGAAGCTGAATACATCTCCTCCGGGATTTGTAGATGATGGAGAGAAAGTCATTGAAGTATTAAGGAACTTTTAGAGGATTGCTCTATAGGTGGGGGAGGAAATATCAGAAATCAGTCGTTCTTTAGCTCACTATCAACTCAGCTACCAAAGGATGGTTTGGCAAACTTAATTCTCAGACCGGAAAATGGACTGTATTTGATCTTGCAATTCTATCTGTTCAACTTCCCAATCTTTCCATCTCCTTCCATGCTATGTATTTCTCCTAGATTCTCATCTTGGCCTTTCCTTCATGTGTCTGGCATAGTTTTGAGTATTAATAGTTTGGCTGCAAAGGGACACTGATGGTATTTGTATATTGCTGGTCCCTAGTCTTACATGTGCTTAATTTTACATATAGGAGTGCATTTAAGGAGAAAAAAAAAAAAAAAAACAAGGTGCTAGTTAGTGTCTTCTTGGCTTTGCCTCAGTAACTAATGTGAATATTTTTCTTTGCAAAAGTGATTTTTCAAGGTATCTACTGTTGAGGTACTTCTAAGAGGAAACCCTGCAGAACAGAAGTAGTTCCTTATTGCGGTTCTGTAATGTATAAAGAGACATTTTACATGGAAAGTGACATTGTTATCTTCATGAAGGCCTGTGTAGTTAATGGAGTGATATTTATTGAAGAGAAAGCTGAACTGTAGAGGGATTTTTTTTAGTGAAGTTCTAAAGCGATTTTTGAATATTTCAGTGGCTGATGTTTTGGATAAATGATACAACTTAGGAATTGTCTGTGCATGGATGCAGATAACAAACGAGCAGCCCAAAGCTGACATTTCTTCCAAAACATTGAATGCTGATCAAACAGAAAAGCTTTAATGAAAACAATCACCACTACCCTGTGGTACTCGCTTTCTGAGGGAGAGTACCAGGTTCATTGCTACCAAAATCTCTCTGCCGTGTAATCTCTGCAGCATCCAGTAGTACCTCATTGGAGAAGCTGGCTATCTCATGGCTCTCGTGGCTGGAGGAGAAGGGGCGTCACGGCCGGCCTGGGCTTTTGTGGGCCTTGTCACCAAGGTGCGCGGGGGAGCGCGGAGCTGGGCTCCTGCAGGAGAGAGACGGGATCTGTTGCCTTTCTAACTCATTATGCGCTTCTTGCTTGCTGCCCAAGCAAGGATGCTGGGATATATGATGAGTCTCTTCACTGTGGTGAATGTGGCCCTTCTTTATACATCATAAAGAGGCCCTGAAAAAAAATCCCTCTACCTCTACACCTGTTGTTCACCTGTAAAGCTTCAAACTACAAAATTATATATATTTTAACCCTTTTTTGTCTTTTCAGAAACATACTAATTGTTTGCCACTGAGGCCTTTTATCTACTGTATTTTAATATGTTCATTTGATAGTCATCGAGATCTCTTTGTACTTCTAACCTGTTGATCTTGTCATGTTTCTTACTGCTCCTTTTTTCCTTGTTCTCCAGTCCACTTTTAAATTGATAAATAGAAAGCTGTACACTCTCTATTCTATTACATTTTACACTAGTGGAACTGGTATTTTGGTAGCGCCTTAATTTTGCAGTCGTGAAATGATTGTATCAACTCTTGTCTGGGGCTTCTGACCAGATTTAAACGAGTATGTTTAATGTAGATAAACTTGAAACCATTTTTTACTGTTTTAAAGCTAGTTATGAAATGGAGTGTGTACATATGTATAAATATAAATTATTAATCTGCACCTTTTTTATCTAGTAAATACAGGAGAAGTTCATGTTCTAACCACATTTGGCACTTCTTGTTGCATAAGCAAAGCCAAAACTTTTTTTAAAAATTGCAATGTTCATTTCATGTATATTTGCAATATTCATGGGAAATGTATTTAATTTATGTGATATTTGGAATAAAACAGATTGAATTTACAAGTGTGTCATGCTGAGCTCACTCCATTCAGTCTAAGTTTATTGGATGACTTTATCATTTTGTGAGTGGTTTTCAAGGAAGAAATTTAGAATTACTGTCAGAGCAAGCATTTGTAATAGGAATTTCATTTAATGCAGTTGCAAGAATGTGTGATGCCACAAATCACAAATGGAACAGTGAAACACTTCCCATTTTCATACTGTGTCCAAGTTCCCAGCTGCAGCACGGGTGTATCCCCGGTGCAAACCCCTCCTGTCTTCGCCCCCATTGCACCTTTCTCCCCAGCCCCACTGCTAAGGAGGTTGCTTTTTTTTTCTCACCCAGAAGTTGTCCAAATTCCTTGTGTGATATATATTACTATTTTGTATCTCTGAGATGAGCTGTTTCTGTAGGTAAAATTTGCTGTTCTTGATCACTGTCCTTGGTGAATTCACAGTCAGAGGGGTAGCCCAATCTGAACAGAAGCCTGTTATTGACGTGCTGCTCTCAGAAGTAGATGGACAGTTTGATTTCCATGCAAAAGTGTTAAAGCAAGTGACCTTCAGGAGTCAGTGTTAGATGTTGCAGTTCACAAACTCGTCTTAAGAGTTTCTTCCCGGATGTGGGGAAAGTAGAGGAATGTGCAGAGGGCAGCGCTGGGTGGTTTGGGGAGAGCAAGAAATGAAGCTGAGGGGGAGCAGGTCTTCAAAACACTTCTGACTCTGAGGCCATGGAAGTTTCCACTGCATGTGATCCCACAGTTCCCACCGCTCTGTGGAGGCCTGTTCCGGGCACTCTGCATGCAGCTGGACCGTGTACCCCTAACCTTGTAATCTGTGTGCACAGGGCTGCTCCAGAGCCTAAGGGAAGCGAACGCCGTGTGTCACTGCGAGCTGGAACTACCCAAAGTGAGCCTGCACAACCACTGAAGAGCCTGAGGCAAGAGCACGGGAGAGAGTGCAAGTGCTGTACCAAAAGCCATCGAGTTCTCCATGCCCTCCAGGGCCAGGCGGGAGGGACCGCTGTAGGGTGCCTTAAGACCTTTTAATTTAACAGTATGAGGGCATGCGCTTGAGCACTGTTATGATTTATATCATGCCAGCAAAGCTCAGGTGCAGTCTGGGGTTTAGCGTGTGCCAGGGCACAGGGCTGAGACCAAGCTATGCAAGATGAAGACTTCTTTTGTGGTCCCACAGCTTCTTGATCCTGCCTGTCCATGTCGCCCTTAAAGACCTGGGACCTCTGGCCTCCTTGGCTGGAGCCTCTTGGGAAGCAGTGGGAGGGTACAGGAGCATAGAGCTGCTCTCCAGGCCAACATGGGCTATCAGAGAGGGGTGTTTGCTACATGCTCAGTGGCCTGCAGGTGCTTGTCGCCCAGCATAGTGCAGCGTCGCCACTCCATGCTGTTGTCCCCATCAGCTACAACCCCCCTCAGAAATTATAAAAGTGGGACAGGGGATACAAATGCAACAGTGAGAGGGATGTGCCAAAGGAGAAATTAGAGGTCACGTAATCTTGACTTTTATGTCGTAGATTCTTGGATGAGAGACTTCAGTTATCTAGTTCTAAATGTAATCTGATTGGCCTGCACAGTCCATTCAAAAAAATGTAATTAAGAGCATGAAGCACTTCACTGACTGACTCGTGAAATTAAATACCCTTCCAGTGCTGCTAGGCTTAGCCAGTGCTGCATGGTGAGGCTGCAGGCGCAATGGCTGCGTGCGGCGCAGGGGC